ATATAAAGTAATTATAATTTATATTTAAAAATATTAGTTTTTATAATTTCTTTATTTTAAAGTAGTTAGTATTATTTTTTTAAGTAAATATTAGATAGTTTATATTTAATATTAAAATTTATTATTTTTTTATTTTTTTAAATTATTTTTAAATTTAAAATTTTTAATTTTTTTAAAATATTAAATTATTATTAAAGTTATTAATAAATATATTTATTAAAGTATTAATTAATTAAAGTTATAAAATTATAAATTTATTTATTTAAATTAATAAAAGTAAAGGTTTTATATTATTTATAATTTTTTTAAAAGGGTTTTATAAAATAAATATTAAAAATTAAATTAATAATTAAAAATCTTTAAAAAATTAATTATTTTATAATTTAATAAGAAATTTACAGTAAATTTATTATAATATAAAGTAAATAATATTTTATAATATATTAATTATAATAAAACTTTTAAATTAATAATAATATAAAATATTTTTTTATAAAAATAGTTAAATATTTTAATTTATTTTAAAAGGTATATATATATATATATTATAAAGTATTTAAAATTTAATTATTTAATTTTATATTTTTATATTTTTTTATAATTTAAATAAAAGTAATTAAATAAATTAATATTTATAAAAGTCTTCTTTATATTTTTATAAAAAAGTATAATATATCTTTTAACTTTAAAAGGATAGTTAAAAATTAGATAAACTTTATAAAGGATAAGGAATTTTTAAAAGTTTAAGAAACTTTTAATAGATTTTTCTATTTAAATTTTTAATAAAATAGTAATTTTATAGTTATTTTTAATAAGTTTAGGGTTATATAAAATAATTATAGGTTTTTATTTATTATTTTAATAAAAGTTTTTAAAGATTTTATTATTATTAATATTTTTATTATAATAGTTTAAAGAGAAAAAGTTATTAATATTAAAAGTAATAAGGTTAATATAATTATTATTAGAGTTTTCAAGAGTTAAATTTAATTTAATAAAATATTTATAAAAAGGATTTATTTTATTATTAAATAAAGATTAATAAAATAGTATATAAAATTATTAAAAAGAAGGATTATTTATAAATATTATAATTATTATTAAAAAAGGAAAGAGTTATATAGTAATAAAATTTATTAATTAGAAGTAAGATTATTAAATAAGGATTTTTAATTAATAAAAGATTATTAAAAAAGTTTTTAAAAGAATTATTTAATTTTAATTATTTAAATATATTAATAATATTTATAATAATTATAAAATAATAATAAAGGATATTAAATAATTAAAGAAAGGAAGTTAATTAAGGATTTAATAAAGTTAATTATTAAATAAAAAATAAAAATAAAAGAGAAAGGTAGTTATTTAAAAGGAAAGTTAATTAGTTTATACCTTTATAAAATATAATAAAAATTATTAAAAGATTTAATAAGTTATTAAAATTAATTAATAATAATAAATAAAAAAGGTCTTTAAAAATATAAATAAAGATAATTAATATTAATTAATAATAATAGTTAAGAATAGTTTTTAAAGAGAGGTATAATTATAATAATTAGATAAAAGTTATAAAAATACTTTAAAGGTATTTTAATATTTAGTTATATTTCTTCTTAAGTTTATTAAAAATAAATAATATTTATTTATTTCTTTTAAAAAATAAGAATTAATTTTATATTAGATTTAAACTTAATAAATCTTTAAATCTCCTTTTATTTATATTATTATATTTAATATTATAATCTATTATAATTATTTTTAAATAGTTTTATTTATAATATAATAAAGTTAATAAATAAATATTTATTTAAATAAAGTTAAAACTTTTAAAAAATAATAATTTTATTTTTATTTATTTTAATTTATTTATATTTACTTAAATTATATAATAACTTTATATATAATATTTAATAATATTAAAATTAATTTATAATTTATAATAATTTTAATATTTAATAAATTAATTTATATTAAAGTTAATAATATTATTTTAAATTAATAAAATATAATTTAATATATTAATATAAAAGTATTTTTAATAATAAATAGTATTATAAATAATTATAAAGTTATTATAAAAGTTTTATATAATAAATTTAATTAAAATAAATTTTAAAATATATTATATTTTATTCTTTTAAAATCTTAATTATTTATTTTAACTTAATAGTAAAATTAAGAAAATATAAATAATTTATATATTAAAATATTTTAATAAATTAATTAAAATAATTAATAAATAAAATTAAATAAAAATAATTATAAATAATTAAATAATTAAATAATTAAATAATTAAATAATTAAATAATTAAATAATTAAATAATTAAATAATTAAATAATTAAATAATTAAATAATTAAATAATTAAATAATTAAATAATTAAATAATTAAATAATTAAATAATTAAATAATTAAATAATTAAATAATTAAATAATTAAATAATTAAATAATTAAATAATTAAATAATTAAATAATTAAATAATTAAATAATTAAATAATTAAATACTTAAATAATTAAATAATTAAATAATTAAATAATTAAATAATTAAATAATTAAATAATTAAATAATTAAATAATTAAATAATTAAATAATTAAATAATTAAATAATTAAATAATTAAATAATTAAATAATTAAATAATTAAATAATTAAATAATTAAATAATTAAATAATTAAATAATTAAATAATTAATTAATTTAAATTTAATTTTATTTATTAAATTAATTTAAATTTAAATAAGTTAATAATTTATAAAATATTAATTTAAAATTCTTTTAAAATATTTTAATTAAATAAAATTTAATTATATAATTAATAATAATTTATTAAAATTTATTAAAACTTATTAAGGTTTATTAAACTTTATTAAAACTTATTAAAGTTAATTAAAATTAATTTAAATAAAATAATAATTTTAAATTAATAATATTTTAATTTATAATTAATTAAAATATTTATTATTATATTAATATATTAATAAATAAAATATTTAAAATTTTTAAATAAAAATCTTTATTTTTTAATTAAATTATTTTATAAATAATATTTTATAATATTATATTTTAAAATAAAATTATATTTTTAATATATTTTAAATTATAAAATTTAAATTTATAATTTTAATTTATATAAAATTAAAATAAATTTATAAAATAATATATTATAAATATTTTAATTAAATAATTATAATTATAAATTATTATTTATAATTTTATAAGAGTTAATATTTATTTACTTAATAATTATATTTACTTACTTAATTTTTTTAACTACTTACTTAATATAAGAATTTATATATAGGGCCTATATAAAACTATATACTTAACTAAAATTCTTTAAATTTTTAATACTTTTAATATAAGCCCCTTTTAGCACCCCTTTTAGCACCCCTTCTGGCACCCCTTCTGGCACCCCTTCTGGCACCCCTTCTGGCACCCCTTTTGACACCCCTTCTGGCGCCCCTTCTAGCACCCCTTCTAACGCCCCTTCACCTTCACCTTCACCTTCACCTTCACCTTCACCATTTAGTCTACACACATTCAAGTATTAACTAAATATTTAGATATTAACTAAATGTTAAAAGGTTAGAAGTTAAGAAGGTAAAAATAAAGATTATACTCTTTTTAACCTTCTAATATCCCTTCTAACCCTTTAACACTCTAAACTTCTAACCTTTTAATATTTAGTTAGTATTTAAATACTTAGTTAATACCTAAATATATATAACCTAAAAGGTATACTAAAAGGTATACTAAAAGGTATACTAGAAGGAGCTTATACTAAAAGTATTAAAAATTAAAAAAGGAAATTATACTATAAAGTCTCTTAATATTAACTTAAAAAGTATTTATAAATATAAAGAAGTTATTTAGAAAAATTAATATTAAGTAAATAATTAATAAAACTAAATAAGTAGATATAATTATTAAATAAGTAGATAATAACTTATTTTAAATTATTATACTTTTAATAAAAATTATATTATTTAAATCTTTTATTAATTATTTTTATTATTTTCTTTTATATTTTTATTATTTATTTTTAATATATTTAAAATAAACTTTATAAATAAAATAATTTAATTTAAATAATAATTATAATAATTATTTTAATTTTAAAAATAAATATATATTTTATATTATTAAAAATAATATTTATTTTATATTAAATTAATAAATATAATATTAAATATAATATATATAAATTAAATAATTAATATTTATTATCTTTATAATTCTTTTTATAATCTTTTTATAATTTTCTTTATAATTTTCTTTATAATTTTTTATAATTTTTTATAATTTTTATATTAATAATAAAATAATAAAAACTATTATTTATTTTTAATATAAATATATATATTTATATATATTAAAAAATCTTTATAGATAATTAAAGTTTAATATAAACTCTATTTAAGTGTTTTATTTAATAAAATCTCTTAAAGATAGTAAGTTCTAATATTTAGTGTCCTTTAACTTATACCTACATTAAACTAGACTTATAACATAAAGCCCCTAGGTAAGTCTCCTACTCTAAGCATTCAATCTTCTAGAGAAGACTAATTCAGCATCCTGTCCATCCTTCTCGGAAACGATGGACCGACTACTAAAAGAATGAGTTATTGCTCAGCCAAGCAGGTCATATAACCTCGTTCTCGGAGATGTTAGCACCTCACAACCCTCCCCATTCAGCAAGCGGGGGGGGGGGGGGTTCAACGTACCGCAAGGGTCTGCAAGGTACGTACCGCGCAGCACCAGAAGGAAGGAAGGACGCTCGCTGCCTTGCTGATGTGGATCCCGGTAGGCACCCATTTTGGGCACTACTTCAGACCTCTCTCTGCAGACGTAGTTAGACAGTCCAACCTACAGAATACACACCACCACACCCCACTAGAATTCACACTGATAAGGTCGAGCTGATGAGACATACATTCCCAAAATCAAATTTACCACACCATCACAATTTTCTTTTCCTCATCATTAATTTACGTCATGGTCGACCAACCCGAGGACCTCGCCGGCCTTTTGGCCAAGTACAAGGCCGAGTTCGAGCCTTCCCGCCCCGGTGTCCCCGGTGGCACCCTGTGAGATGCCCTCATCTGCCTTTTCGCCCAACACAGTCACGATCTTGCACTGCTTGACCCCAGCGTTTTCAGCTCCCCACCCCCTGGTTCACTTGATTTGTCCTTTCCCTCAAGCACTCCTGCTCCTCGGCCTATCTCGTCGAGCTTCTTTTGTCCCTTGCAAGCACCATCGAGTTCCTTGTGAGCAGTTTGGAAGTGCCCCTGCCGCTGATCCCACGTGCCATCGGCGCGCTGACAGCCTCTGGGACTTCAATATTTGGAGGTGTTCTTGTGCCCCCCTTCGCAATCAGTTTCCACGTCCCTGGTGTTTGCATATGCTTGTCGTTGTTTGAAGCCTTCTTACTGTTTCAGTTTATGGCCGCCATGAACTGTACTAACCATGCAATGAAGCAACGTCGACGCCATCGAGGGCGAGGCCTTCGAGCCGGTCGAGCCTCCCCCGGCCGAGCCCCTGCCTGCGCCGCCGGTCGCCCCTGCCCCGGCCGAGTCGATCCTGCCTCCTGCCGTCGCCGCTGCGTTGGCCGCAGGCCCCGCCGCCGCCGCCGAGGACGACGAGGAGGAGGAGAAGAAGAAGCAGGAGAAGAAGAAGGAGAAGCCCAAGCCCGCGCCCGTGCCCGCGCCCGCACCAGCACCAGCACCAGCACCCGCACCCGCACCCGCGCCTGCCTGGCCCGCCCCCCGCCAGGGCCCTGAAGCCCACCCAGGGCAAGGGCAAGAAGCGCCCGGCTTCTGATGCCGGGTCTGACCCCCGGCAGAAGAAGCTGGAAAGCTTCTTTGTCAAGAAGTAATTGTTGTTTTGTGGAGATTACAAAAAAAAAAAAAAAAAAAAACAGACTTGCCCGGCCTCAGCGCACTTGCTTGGCTGTTCAGTTGGATTTGACAGCCAAGCCGAGCGTTTGAATCACCAGCTACGAGCACCAGCACTTGCTTGGCTGTTCAATCCGGCCTCACCCTGTCTTCGTTCCATCACGCTAGCTGTGCCACGACGACGAGGCTCTCCACGAGCAGTCCAGCACTTGCTTGGCTGTTCAATCTGGCTGCCTGTGGTCCAGGAATTGAAACTAGCGGCCTGGCATCACTTGCTGGATCAATCAGTACGTCCAAACAGCCTCCCGCCGATCATACTAGCAGGTATTCGAACCACGCTGACAGCCCAAGCAGTCGCATGCCAGCTTAAGCATTCTATCTCGAAACTCGCCTCGGTCGAGCGTGGGTTCCTGGGTTAATCAGTATGTCTGACCTTCCTGTCGCTCCACGTACCAGCACACTGTTCGAGCCACGCTGACAGCTTAACAGTCGCTTGCTGGCTCCAGCATGCCCCTCGGACTCGCCACAGTCGAACGTCGCTTGCTGGCTAAAGCATGCTGTGCTGCGCCCACCTCGGTTGAGCATCGCTTGATGGCTCATTCAGTATGTCTGAGGTCCTCCTCCCCACTGAACAGTCCGAGCTTTACTAACAGCTCGTCGGAACAGTCGCTTCCTGGCTCAACCATGCCCGGCGTATCTTCATCTCGAAAACATCTTGGAACACGGTGGCGACATCGGCAAACACACCGATCAATTTGCTCGAGGGTTGTTGACATGAGGTTGGCAACTAGCGCTTGCTTACCTAAGTCGTCGCCAGGCACCAACCATGGCTGGTGTGGTTGGGGAAGTTTGCACAGTACTGTAGTCCCAGATAGGGAGTCCCGCAGACTCCGGAGATAGGGGAAGACAACGCCCAATCCAACCACAATTTGCTCCGCTCGCCCGCACGTTGAATCGTGCAATTCTACCACACTGACCGGGGTTGGGCCAACGTGTTGCGATCCAGGGCCCCGCCTTTTTCTGCAACAGGTCCTTGCTCGGAAAACCCCCACACACATGGGAAGCAAGACAGCATACATAACCCCTCCAGACACACCATGCTTGGCCTGCACCTCACGCAAAGGAGGAAAAGAAGGAGAAAAGGGAAAAAAGAGTTATAACTTGCTTGCAACTATATTTTTTGCAAGTGTTATGATAGATAGCCTTTGATAGTGCGGCAGATAAATTAAAAAGTTGAATAGACAATTAAAAGTGAAAAAAAGATATCCGACACCTCAGGGATTCGAACCCTGGCTCCCGAAGGAAATGGCTTAGCACTGTATTTTGATTGTTAGAAACCGACCAGGTGAAGTGGTATTTAGGTATAACTTACGGCCATCGCGTTGACCACTCCGCCAAAGTGCCCGGGTTACCGTGCTGAAAGGTATACTAACCCTTACACCTGAGTTCAATACGGCTTCTATCACACCAAAGAACGTAGCTAAGTCTATTATTAACTTATGTTCACAGGTAGTAAAAGCTCTCAGTAGGGTAATAGCTATTACCTAGGAGTATATTATTTAAGGTATATAATATATATTGTACTTTAATTATATTAGGCATGAAATCCTACTAACGTGTTGGCGAGCTGCCTACCTAGGTTAGGATTATTAGGAATCGGGGCAGTACATGCAGGGAAGCCGGGCGAGGCATTGCCGGAGCAAGAGAAACAAATCTAATAGACGACGGATGCACCTCCTCAATCTTCGCAGGCTCCCCTTGGACTTCTGCAAGAGCCCCCGCGCCCATCAAGTTCTGTGGTGGAGGACGGCCACTCACAACCTAATAGGTCTCACTCCTCGAGGCACGAAGGGCGCAGGCGAGTCTCAGGAGAGTCTTTAGATCTTACAGACGGTCGGCATCTTCAATGTCCAAGAAGTATGGATTAATCTCAATACACACAAGCGGCCATGACGACCTTGGTTAATAAACCACGCGCAACGAGGTAAGAGAAGTTGCAATCATATGTTGGCACCCGTAATAGCGGAGGGTATAATCACACTAGGGAATTCGGGATTAAAGTGCTTAGTTTAGCATTAAACCACGGGTAATAATCTTTAAGATTTATTATATAGGATAGTATCTTATAAGAGGTTATTTTATAGAAAGGTAGGAGAGTATTTTATAAAAAGTTAAGGAGAGTATTTTATAAGAAAGTAAAAAGTTATTTTATAAAAAATAATTTATAAAAAGTTATTTATAAAAGATTATTTATAAAAAGTTATTTATAAAAGGTTATTTATTCTTTTAAATATAAAGTTAAAAATTTATAATTATAATTTTCTAATTAACTTTTATTTAATTATTTTATTATATTATAATTTAATTTTATTTTATTTAAAAATCTTAAAATCTTTTAATATTTTTTTAAAAGTTTAATTTAAAAAGCTTTTAAGTTTAAATTTAAGATTTTTATAAATTTTAATTTCTTTTAAATTAAACTTATAATCTTTTAACTTTTAAAAATATAATAATTACTTTAAATATTAATAATTTCTTTTAAAGTAAAGATTTACTTTTATATAATTATAAATTTAATTATTAATAGTTATTTCTTTTATTTATAATAAAGTTATTAAAATTATAAATTTAAATAATAAAGTAGTTACTTTATTTAACTATTTTTAATTTAATTAAATAATTACTTTTAAATAGTTTTATTTATAGAATTAATAAATAAATATTTACTTAAATAAAGTTAAAATTTTAATTAAAGGAATAATAATTTAATTTTTATTTATTTTAATTAACTTTCTTAAATTATATAATAATTTTAATATATAATATTTAATAACATTAAAATTAAATAAATTATAGTTTATAATAACTTTAACTTTTAATAAATTAATAATATTAACTTAAATAAATTAAATATAATTTAATATATTATTATAAAAGGTATTTTTAATAATAAATAATATTATAAATAATTATAACGTTATTATAAAAGTTATATATAATAAATTTAATTAAATTAATTTTAAAAATATATTATATTTTATTCCTTTAAAACTCTAATTATTTACTTTTAATTTAATAGTAAAATTAAAAATATAAATAATTTATAAATAAACTTTTATTTTTATAAATATAAATATTTAATTTTTAAAAATAATTTATTTTCTTAATATAATATTATATAATACTACTTATTTTATAAAGATATAATTATAAAATTAAATTTAATATATTTCAAATAAAAGTTATTAATAATATAGAGACTATTAAAATAAAGAAGGGAATTATCATTAAACTTTATATACATTTAACCTAAAGTACCGAACAACTCCTTAGACCTAGATGTACTGTTCAGGTGGAAATATAGCTTCTCTCCGATACCCACTGCTCCAGTTCCGACGCGTTCTCCATATCCCTAGTCGTAGTCATAGGTTGCACAGTGATATGCAGAGCGGTTGTCCCTGCAATCTCTGTTAGTACTGATCATCGGCATCTTCTCGGCCGTGAAAAGGAGTATGGGCGAAATTTGCCCGGACTGTAGATGAGACATTCTAGAGACAGGTGTGATGGTGGGCGGGATCTCGATACTCACCAGATTGCTGCAACGGGTCAGTACTTGCACTAGTAGCAACGCGGATTTTCAGAATACTCACCTATATCATTTCTATTCCTCCCTTTGAACCTCACTTGCAGGTCATGATTCTCGATAATCATCTGCCCAAACTTCCGCAACCGCTCATCGGACTCCTGCAGCTCCAGCTCGTTGATCCGCTTACTAAATGGGCCAAATACGAAAATGCTCTTCCAGCCCGTCACAGGGTTGGTTCGCACGACAGGTTGTACCGCAGATAGGCTGGTCCCTATATTCGCGAGGCTTCCCCTGGGCTCTTTATAAATCTTTACAAGATCAGGATAGGAAGACGCATATTTGAGAAACCCATCTGCGACACACGTTACAGTAAGGCCCTTAAAGAACTTCTAGTAGGGTTTAGAAAACCTATCGTGGAGCTCATACCCAGACACCCAGAGCGTATCATTACCTGTTGTGGGTAGCTGGGTTAGTCTCAGGCTCGTATAGTCCGCGGGGAAGATGTCTGAGTGCCACTGAGAGAAGTAGTTATAGCGGCGCTTAGTGGGTGGCGGGGCGAGGTGGTTGAGTGCCTTGCGCTGGATCAAGCTCATAGGACTTATCTCAGCGTCGACAACGCCGAACTCAGTGGTGTTATTGAGCACAGGATAAACATGAAGAGTGGAATCTGCGGGGCTCCCGCTCATCTGCCCCAACCTTGAAGCGATGAACAAGCTCTTTCTGAAGGTTGTCGGTAAGATTACCCTGTGCGCGGAAGAACGCGACGCCGCGCTGTGAAACTGTGACAATGGTTAGTCAGGCTGTACTCCTGCGAGGAATGTTAGAGTGAACGGACTTTCTATGGCAAGATCACGCAGCAGATCGTCCGCATTGGGAGCATGCAGAATGTCATCTACAAGATTGATGGTGGGAAACTCTCTGCCCGTGACAGGAGTCACATCCTCCCAGGCAAAGTGAGCAAGCGTTCCTGAGGATTTCAAGGGTTCCGGGAGCGATTTTGATTTCCCAGAAAGCGGTGGAACTGAGTCCGGGTTGGGTATGGCAGCGGGGGCCATAATAATGTCGATATTCACAAAAACTCCTCACCGACCCTAAGATGAAGTAATGTGGGTGTGCTACCTCAACATATATATCGCTAGGTAGGTTTCGGTTCCAGTTTTACTCTGGGCCTCGCATCTCGAAAAAGATTTGGCATCAACCGAGGCTTTAAGCAGCGAGATCAGACAGCATTACGCGACATCACTCTAGTGAACAACCGAGTATCGAGATATCTGAAACTTATTTACTTACTCTTTAAATTACATTGAGACTGATTGTTTATGACGATGCGCCTAGAAACGTCACAAGGGCTGTATTGTAATAGTCGCCGCCGTAGGCGGAGGGTGGGCTATACCCCTTAGTACATGACATACTCTCCTCCACCGCCTCGCAAACTAGGGGCATAGGGCGTGATAGAGGTACCCGTAGGTATCTACCATTTCGTCGGGCCGACCCAAGGGTTGTCCGTGAAAATCTAGGGGCCCCTTGCGTTACATTATGTAGCCAGGGTGGCGTGTTAGAACGGCTGGGCACGGAAAGCGACCGCCTGTCTGAAGTTACGCGCATCTCGATAAGATCTATAGCCAATCTTGCCTGTCCTTGTCCTGGCCTTAGCTCAATCCAATTTGTATAAGCTTGTTACCCACCTTATATCTTAGAGAACGGAAATTCGCGCACCCTCAATCGGAAGGCACGCACCCATCTGCTAACTAAGAAGTACTCTATACAAACTTCTTCTTCCACAAAAGGGCCGGCTGGGGCGAAGGGGGCGAGCCCCAAAGCGCAAAGCATAGCAGAGGGTCGTAAGTAGGGCCGGTAGGCACAACCCAAGTTCCCAGAGGACCAACCCGCCCTATTTATAGCCTCTAAAATCACGAAAAACACTTATTTATTGAAGTTATAAGGACTTTAAGGTTCTATACTCTAATTAGCTGAATAGTAGGGAGGGTACACACCTTCCAATTCTAGGTGCACAAATTTCCGTTCTCATATCTTAAAGGATAGAAAAGTATTATAAAAGCCTACTTAATATACCTAGCTTACATTCTAATAGTCCCTTAATTTTAACTACTTTCTCTTTTAACTACTCTTTTATTTTAAGTATATTTCTATTATTATTATAATTTAATTTTTTTAATAATTAAAACTTTTAATTAATTATTTTTTTAATATTTATTTTAATTTAATTTTTATTTATTAAATAATTTTAATATTTATAAATAATTTATTAAAATTAAATAAAATATATTTTTTAAAAATTATTTTATTAATTATTTTATTAATTTTAAATTAATATTTTAATATTTTAATTATTTTTATAATTATTAATAAAAAATTATAATTATTTTATTATTATTATTATTATTTAAAAATAATTTTAAATAAATTTAAAATTATTATATTAAATAAATATATTAAAAAGTTAAATAGACCTTTAAAAGTAAAAAAAGAATTCTCCGACACCTGTGTGATTCGAACACACGCTCCCGAAGGAAACAGCTTAGCACTGTGATTATTGTTAGCTGAGGTATGCGGCTTCAAATTTTTGTCAGACTCACGGCTGTCGCGTTGACCACTCCGCCAAAGTGCCTCAATCTTTAATGTCCGGCCGGCGTAACTCTATCCTATATACAGTAGACAACAAAGTAGTCTATAACACCTCCTTATAACCCCTAAACCTCTTTTTAACTTAATAATATATAAAATAATAATATTTAAAGATTTATTAAATATATAATTTATATAAATTATTTATATTTTTAATTTTATTATTAAAATAAAAATAAAGAATTAAAAAAATATAATATATTTTTAAAAGTAATTTAAATAAATTAAAAAAAAAGTTTAAATTATATTAAAAATTAAATTAAGTTATATTATTATAAAATAATTAAATAAAAATTAATTAAAAAATTTAATTATAAGTTTTTTAACTTTATATTAAAGAGAGTTTATATTATTATATATAATATTTAATTAAGATAAATATCTTAAATTAAATATAATATTTTAATTTTTTTAAGTGTGTGAAGAGGGGTTTTTATACTAATAGGTGAGGCTTTTTAGCTTTTTTCTATTTATAAAAGTCACGATTATTATATGAACGAGGTTTGAACTACACAGACTACACCTTTAAAAATAGAGGGCGACATTCCAGTTAACGGTGCTAATGACAGAACGGTCAAAGATTACTTGTCGACGTGATGCTCATGAACGCTCTAGATCTACAGTCGGTTGTGACTGCTGGGAGGCCAGAGAACGGAAGTGATCCCGCAGGTGCGTCCTAGGGCCTACAAACAGCCCTCAAGACGTTCTTTAGAAATCACCCATCTCGCAATGTCATTTTATTCTTCCTGGGGTTCCTGCTAGTCCAATGCAGTGCCTAGCATCGAGGCGAATCTCACCTGCTCAGCTTGCTGACTCCGCTTCTTCTTCAAAGTCACGCTGCATCGCCATCAGATGAGCAATATTTATATTTGGGGGTACGTTCCAATTTCGCCCACTATCGTCGACTGCGGGAGGCGGGGAGCCCGGGGTGCGTTGGGGCGGCATGGGGCGGCAAGGGCCATGGGGCCCAGTGGTCAGCGTCGGGTTGTGCAAGCATGAACTGGCCGTTAGCCGGGTCATTGTCGTGATTATACGCGGGTCCAGTGGTCTGGGTGATGTTGTTTAGATGCATTGGACCCTGCTCTCGTAGGATACCCCCCTGCATCTGTCTCGCCATCATCTGTCTCTGTTCATGTTGTAATGCCTCGAGGCGTTGTCGTTGCCACTCTTGTTGTTGGGCGGCTGCATGTCATGGACCAGACATTAGCTCAGATATAATAAAATGACTCGAAGAAAATGAAAGTGGTGGCTTGGGAAGATATAGAGCTTCTTGCACACAAGGCAACTCACGGTTGTTCGAGAGAAAGGGATTCGAAAAGGGATTCGAGGCGGATGTGGTCTGGAAACTAGGATCGAGGGGGCTTCCTTTTTTGAACGGTGATCTGTCTGCATTTCTCCAGGTTAAGTCTATGCATTTCCAAGGGACCGGTCACGAAAGACGGGGAGTGCGAACCTGGATTGGTGCTGCCAGACAATTCTCCGGTTCTGCTCTTACTTGAAAATTGACGGGCAAGCCCTTCGTTTTGCTTTTGCATAAGTATTGTCATCGTCTCCCTGTCTATAAGAGGCTTGTATGGCCTCTCAGATGGCGTCGCATCGGACACAGGCTGCCCATTGTGCAAGACGTTCATATTGTCAGGAACTGGCAATTCTTCGACCTTGTTTTCATTCGCTCCGATTGATATGTCATCCCGCTGTTGCCTTTCCATCATTAGTCGCTTCTTTTTCATTTGCTCCTGCATCATCAACTGCAGTTGATAGTCCTGGACGGCTTGACCAGATCGCCGAGCTGGCGTCACATCAGGCGTAGAAGCTGAAGGCTCCGGATATGGATGTACATAATCCTGTGGTGTCAGACGGGACTGGTGACGCAAATTAACCGAGGATGGGCTGTGGCTGCGGGAAGGACGGCCGCTGTTCTCATATCCGGTGTCCTCGGTGCCGCGCATAAACGACCCGAAATCGAAAATTTCATCCTCGGCATGCAAGAACGAATCGAAATCGAAATCGGTGAGGGAATCGTCGAAGGCATCTCTAGTGAGGTGATTTGTCTTCATTATAGGATTGTTGACGGCCGCCTTTACTCGAGGAATCGACTTAGGTGGTTTGACTGTCTCATGTTCTTTTCGAATGTGCTTCTTTAGGGATCCTGGGGTCAAGAAAGGCGGGTATTGGCAACCTAGGTGAGTACATGGGTATCTGCGGACATGGCTCTTTTCGTGTTCGATCCGAAGCCTCTCTGTCTCAAATCCCACAGTAGCACGAGGGCATGAGCCAAGTCTGCAACTATGAGCAGACGTGCAGAATTCATTGCGGAAGGTTTCGACATCTCGCGGTGATACTCCTGGGATATCCGGCTCGTTGATTACATGGAGAAGTAACCTCTGATATTGTGAGAGCAGGGCCGATACGCCCTCGATGACTGGGGCAGGACCTTCCTGGGTAGCGTCCGGTAATGCTTCTCAAGGTCAGAAAAGTCTGATTAGGACTGCAAATTTCAGACTGAACTCACGGCTTTCGAACTTGAGACGTTTCTCAAGTTGCTTCAGAGATCTGGCCCATCGAGCCTCCCGGACGTGTCTGTATATGAGTTGATGGTCTTTCAGGTGATTCAATCTCTCGTCCTGAGCTGGCTCGCCGGGGATGATTCCATGTCCGTCGTTCTCGAAAGTAGCATCCATGTCGGCCGAGAATTTACAGAGGAGATTGTAAAGTGCTGAACTCCTGTCAAGACCGCCACTCCAGTCAACGATGGCCAAAAGATCTTCCGTCCAGTATTCAGCTGCATAAAGTTGGAACCCGTACACGCCCCTGACCAGCACCCGTAATATTTCTTGGCGGTCCGGGGCGAGAAGCTTAATACTGGACAACAGACAAGCAACAGAGGCCGTGCAATGTTGCTTGACTGCGGTCTCTTCAGAAATCTCCAAATTCGACGATGAGCTCTGCAGAAATCTAAATATTGATGAAGTATTAGCCAAGCAGACCGAGCCGGGGTCCCTTTTCGACAATTGAACCTAAACTTACTCTTTCACTGAGACGTGGATGAACGTCAGCGTTGTGTCGCTTCGTTCATCGATTAGAGAGCGGCAGACGTCCAGAATGTACTGGGGCGCGGGATACTCCACTTCGGGATCTCCAGATGAAAAACAGACGGCCGACAATAATTCAGACCTGCGCAATGGCCGCCTTGCGTATGCTACCCACCCGAATATGCACTTGATGTGACGCGTCGAGTTTTGGTCAAGGGGCGCCAGAATCTGGGATAAGAGTTTGGAATAACTAGATACATATGTAGTTAGCAAATACCAAAAGCCTGGTCCGTGGGATAAATGCACGCACAATGAAGAAAGCTCCCTTGGTAGCTCGTTGATCGATTTCCTCAATTCGTCCCCGCGGACAAAGATATTGCTACTGACGAAGTCCAGAACCAGCCGGGCGTAGAGGAACATGCCTGAAAACCGTGTTAGCCTGATCGGAAGCTGTGAGCGACAGCCTGTAACTTTCACCGGGGGCAGTCTAGACGTTCAATGAGGCCGCACGGGAGAGCTGCAGGACCAAATAATCACTTGCATTTCCGGAAGGAGTTTATACTCACCGTCTGATTTCTGTGATATCTGTTCGCCCATACTATCGATCTCAACACCACTCAACCCCAGTTGTTGAAATCGAGTGTCCAGTGCTCTCAGTCTCTGCAATGCGTATTCCCGAATTGCTGAACCCAAGTGTTCCTTCTCTTTCGTGAGCGAGACTGACGGTTTGTGTCGAAGGACATGGGATACAGTTGTAGTTGGTCGGCTGGAAATAAATACTTTGCAGATGACGTTTTCCGATGCAGAAGTCTTTGACACAATCTGCTTTATGAAGTTCAGCAGACGAGCCTGTGAGTTCGGAGAATGATCACGAAGCTCGTCCACGCCGTCCAGAACAATCCACACGTAGCTGCATTGACTCGGTTGCCCGGCCGAGTTGGCCAGAAGGGTCTGTAGCAACTGTTCAAGAGCTGGAATCGATGCCACCTGCTTCTTGAGCACGTACTCATTGTACACGTTGGCTGTGAAGTCTCCATCTTGGCGTAGTAACTGCTCGAGCATAGACTTCAAAACTTGATCGTACTCGGATGATGCGACAGACGTGTTCGTACAGAAATGGTGGAGTACAACATCATTTCGCGATTTGATGAATTTGATCAGTTGAGATGACAACACGCTCTTTCCGGAACCTGCGGTGCCTGATAGCCAAAGGATCGGAGTCTGTGATGATCGTTGTACCCAGGACTTGATCTTGGCATGGTTGAGGATCCACCCACAGGTTCCTGGATACTTGGAACCTTGCCCTGCGACGGACTCAAAGATAGCTAGTTGATCACATTCGTTCATCCGGAGCCACGACTGGATTGCACTGAATTGCTTGGCCGACTGTTCCCTTTCCTCAAGGATGATCCTCTGCAGACTTTCTTCTCTCCATGAATAGACGTCTTGACGCATCTGGTGTGCTTCCGCAATGTCAATAGCATTTGCTAGGCGGTCAACTAGGTCGATGTGCTCTTTCATGTCTTTCAACAGATGATCGAACCGTCTTTGGAATCTTCCCCACGAGGTGGAAAAAAGTAGTTTCCAACCTGACAGGTTCATATCAGTGACCAGTTCCTAGTTTTATATAGACGTACGAGAGGCATGGATTCAGGCTGCCGTGCAAAAATTACTGACCGCTTCGTCGTACGAATTTATAAGCGTACTTGTGAAATTCAAGGATATCCGCATAGACGGCGGCCGTTGTTTCATGGAACTTGGGGTCGCCCATAAACGACTTTTGAATAACCTCAAATCGTTGTAAAGAGCTCCCAATACGGCTGTATGCTCCGATGATGGAGTCGAACGATTCAATGTGTTCAGACGCGATTCGCAAGACCAGAGTGATGGGAGCCCAAACCCATGGTAAGTATGGGGTTCCATTGCAAATGATGTCCACGACCTTAGAATAATGCTCAAGCCCAGTAAAGAGAGGTTCCAATCGTCGCATATTGCGGAGCCATCCTCGAGACCCGAGTTGATTTTCGATGTTAATTGCCTCTTGTCGAACACGCTCTAGAGAGAAATCTCGATACTTTTCGGAGTCCTCGGGTGTAAGAATCTTCTCAAGGTCCGAAAAAGCGCACTGCATTGTTTGCCGTGCAGCAACAGGCACAGCCGGGCGTAGGCCGAGGGAAGACATCGTCAACGAATGACACCTTGACGGGTCCTCGTGTCTCTAGACAAAGAGGTTTGTACTTCTGTTGAAACGACTCGGTGGGTATTAACGAAAGATCAAAAAGACGAGATAGTTTGGAAAAATATTAGGAATGATAGAGTCCGCTTCATTGATGATCAACATGGCTGTGATCTTGAAGCTTGAAAAGTTACGCAAAATGTGGCAATGAGGACTCAGCCTCCAGTGTGCGCTGGCCTTGATGCTAGGCTAACCGCCAAGGTAGGACAGCGCACCGCCCCAACAGCTGGACCATGCCTGTGTCATTTCAGACCGGAGATTTCAGTGTCACTCTATGGGTAGGGGGTAGTATATGCGCGTCAGCTCAGCCTGTAAGCCTGGATTGATGTGTAAAATGTACCTACTTAGGTAGCTGCAGGAACTCGGCTTCCAGCATGCCCAGGTGAGCTGGCTGCCATCCTTCACCAACCGCTAAGGCAGGTTGGCAGGTAAGGTGAGGTAGGACAATGCACTGCCCCCAAAATGCCGGACCACGCCTGTGTCTGATTTGTCAGTGTCACTGCATGGGCAGGGGGTAGGTATATGCTTGTCAGCTCAGCCCCCATTAGGCTGCAGTAACTAGTGACTCTAGGCAAGCCACAGTTACCCCAGTGGCAGTTCCCAGTGGCAGCTCTCTCCTCCATAACTCAATGCTGTCGGTCCCTTGTATTCTGAATTCTCTCATCCTGAGTCTTTGAGCGTTTGCCGCTGTATGAAGGGACCGCACACGCCTTCACATGTATGCGGATCGAGAATATAACTCATTCTACTAGTATTCCCATCGCGGACAGCAACACCCCAAAGCATGAATTCGGCACATGACGAGCCAGAGGCCAAAAGGAGGCGCTTAGCAAATGGACCACCAGATACTGATCAGCAGCAAGATGGTTCTTGCTCAGGCATCAATGGCTTCGCATCATGGTATACTCCCAGCCAGCCATCCTTTCCACTCCATCCTCCACCTTTAACGCAGATGACCGGGCTTCCATTTCAGCAGACCACTCAAGCAGCTTCTTGGACGCTCCCAGTTGAGACAGATTCCGCATCGCATGGATCGCTACATATCGCACAGACATGGGGCGTTGAACAAAACATGCAGGCTCAATCAAGCTGGGGTCGGATGCCGTATTTCCCTCCAACGCACTTCCCGTATCACGCTCGTATCTGGCATCACCCGGCGGCAATACTCCCTATGCCTCGCTATTATCACTCTCAAGGCTTTAACCCCATGCCAAACCAGGACTATCCGCCCACGTCATCCGGAATGGCAAGGATGACATATCCTACTGCTCCTGTGATTACTCACGACGCGCCGTCGCCCGAACATGTATCCGATAATGTTCTGTCGAACGACGAAGCCGAGCTAGATCCTGACACCACAGACACGAGAACGATGAAGGAAATTGTTTGTTTCGGCATCGTATGATACTAAATAGCCTCTTGAAATAATAAGATGTCTTCTGAATAATGAATGACAGATCCCTCGCATAAGTGCGAAATGCCACCGTTCAGGCCGTTCAGATTTTCCGCAGAATTTCAACGTGACACTCGATTCCGGAGATCGATTCACCTCAGCCGAAAAGGATCTTGGCGTCCGTGGAACAATCCCACCAGAGCATGGCCAGATGATTCAAGGTCTCTTGGAAGGACCATCATTGGACCTTGAAGTTGCTTGCAGCATCGACGCATCAAATAGTTCAGCCAGGTCGGACAGGTCGATTACGCAGGCCCCTTGCTATTTGAACATTGCCGTGTACGGCCCTTTTGAGCTCTTCAAGATTATCGGGGATTGGCTGCAGGACTACAATGTTCACCTTCAAGATCCAATCAAAGTGGGCGAGCGAGATGTCAAGTACTGCAATCCACACCGCCTCTCATTCGAAAGCTTTCATTCCTGTACCTTGGTCTCTACATGCGTCTTACAGAATTCAAAAATCAGTGGCATCCAGGAGATAGAGGATCGCCCGGACTTTTTGGATATCTTGAGCAGCCATTCGGATCTGGACGAAGCGCCGCAGCCGAGGGCCGTTCGGACGGGTTTGCAGAGGCCAGTGAGGAAAGGTGAAATTTTGGCGGAAGCTTATATTTCAATGCTGATATGATCTCCCTAGGCACCAAAAGCAAGCACTTACCTTTTTGCTTAGCCGGGAAAAAAACTGGGCGTTTTTTAAGGATGGGGACATCTGGGAGGCTCGGGACACCCACGCAGGACTTCAGTACGTCCCAGCTCCGGGCATATTAAAACAGCTGACAGTGCCTGACACTCCGACTTGCAGGTTTGTGAACAAGGTCTCCGGTGCTGTCTACTTCGAGGAGCCAGCGGCCTTCCGGGGCGGAATCGTTGCGGATCCAATGGGAATGGGGAAAACATTAGCGATGATTGCCCTAGCCGCTACTGACCTAGAACCGACAAAATACGGGACCCATGATAAAAACGATGACTCAACGGAGAAGTATCACAATGGTGCTACGTTGATCGTCGTTCCTCCGCCGCGTGAGTGAGCCCAGAACCGTCCATCTTGATGCTGCATTTGTTACAGTATACTAGTGTCCTCTGGCGCTTTGGGAGAACATAAGCTTACTGTTCAACAGTCCTTGGTACCTGGCAAGAGCAACTGTGCGAGTAAGTGATGTCCTGGCTGACCACATGTCCAAGAAAGACACCTACCACTGGAGATCCGCTCATATTTCTCAGGCACCTATTCGAGGGAGAAATGAGATTGTCCTTACATTATGGAAAGGCAAAATTGATCAACATGAAAGACTTGGAGGGAGTTGCCATTGTGCTAACAACGTATCATACGGTGTCGGCTGAATATAAGAACGCCAGAAGAAATAAGCAATCATCAATATTATTCTCGACTCAGTGGAGAAGGGTTGTTCTAGACGAGGGTGAACATCTCTGATATTTCAAGATTTTGTACGGATCGCCTGACTAACACTGGATTCATCCAGCGCACTTCATCCGCAATGAAAACAGACAAATGACTCGGGCAATTTGCGACCTTCAAGCACACATTCGCTGGGCAGTTACGGGCACTCCCATTCAAGTGAGTCCGACCATCATGGCGGAGCTGCGGGTCTCCAGTTCCAATCTGATACTGATTAAAATGTCCGAATCCTCAAGAATCATCTGAACGATCTGTCGACTCTTTTGAAGTTCATCCGGGCTTACCCCTACGACCAACCAAAGCAATTCAAGGCTGACATTTCTTCACCGTGGAAACTTGGCGAGGAAGAGAAGGCGATAAGTCGTCTCAAGTACCTCTCGTCATCTCTTATTCTCCGGCGTCCAAAGACTACACTATCATTGCCACCAAGACGAGATTTGCAATGGCCCGTCGACTTCAGCCCCGAGGAGAGAAAGGCCTACGAAGATGTGCGAGATCAAGCAGTCATGCAGATCGAAGAGGCTCTCCAGCCCCGTCCGCATACATCGGCGGGTACTTCATACGTGAATGTACTGCAACAAATTGAGTCGTTGAGGCTGATCTGTAACCTCGGACTCAACTATCGCGCAAGACACGACGACACTAGTGCGAAACCCCACGAAGATTGGATATCTATGGCGCAACGGAGTTTCAATACTCGGCGAGAGCTTAGCCCAATAAGCTGTCTACATTGCTTATCGGACATTGGACTGGCAGAGTCTACGCTCGATCTTTCCGACCACAAATGCGAAGGACGCTTCTTCCGATGTCTCAAATTTTGCTGCGAAGAGTGTCTCGAGAAATTACCTCGGTCGAAGCAAGAAGTCGGATGTGGCCACAGACCTCCTTGTCCCGGAGCTACTGTGTCTCTGGTCGGCAAGGACATCGAAGAGGCCGGCTCCCTGGAGTCTGCAAGACTACGGCCCGGCGTTGAACTTCCTTCAAAGCTCCAGGCTCTGGTGACGGATATCAAATCTCTTCCTGCAACAACCAAATGGTACGACCTGCTAGCCCCAGTGGAACAGCCAACATGAGACAAAACTGACCGGTTTTAGCATTGTGTTTTCGACCTGGAGGTTGACCCTTGACCTTGTGGAAGCTGGGCTTAACCAGGAATCCATAGCCAATGTGCGCTTCGACGGGAAGGTTCCTCAAAAAGAGCGCCAGGGTGTGGTCGACCGGTTCAAGAACGATCCGAATACTCGGGTCATGCTCCTGACCCTAGCTTGTGGTGCAGTAGGGTGAGACATGGATTACACTCGGCATCTTGACGTGATTTCTGATGCATGGCTGACCGCCTGGGACAGACTCACCCTGACAGTGGCATCACGCGCATACCTGATAGAGCCCCATTGGTAAGACTCGTTACACTATATTGAATTTACAGCCCACTAAATTGCGTCAGGAATCCCACTCTCGAGGAGCAGGCACTGGCCAGAGTTCATCGCATAGGTCAGAAGCAGGAAGTCACCACAGTTCGATTGTATATCAGAGACTCATTTGAAGAGGTATTTAGGAACAAGGTTTCTTCCAAATATCGAGAGTGTAATATCTAATGTCGTCTACAGCAAGTCATGAAACTTCAAACCAAGAAGAAACAGCTTGCAGGTCTGCTGCTTGCTCCGCATGACGGTGGAGAGGCAGACGAAAATCTGGGAGGACTACATGTGAGTAGAGAATGATAAAGTTGTTTCTTGGACTGGTGGACTGACATGGAGCCAGAATCTAAGGTCGTTGTTGTAGAAAGGAGCTCGGTAGATCACACATAGCGCTTCAGTCTAGTATCTACTGTGTTAGAAGAGTTCCATCTGAAAGCCAGCGTTCTTGGGCCTCCAAGCCGCAAAATATTATGATACACTTTCTGGGCAACCGGAGGCAGTACTCTCTTTGACAAGGCTGGGTTGATTTGTGGCACTGAGTTTGGATTAGACCAAATTAGTACCTAGGTATTATCCTGGCAATCCAAACGCCCCCCCCCTGTGTGGCCTCAAACAATGGCAACATCTGCCCACTGAGCCCCATGTTACTCTATCCCTATTCTTGCCTTCCTAAGAGAATCGAGAGCTAGGCAAACTCCTCTTATTGCAACACATTTCGTGGGATAATCTCCCACTATGAGACATCTCCGTGGGCTTAATTCCCTTAGACCATCCTCCCAAGTGACGGTCTTCTAGTTACCGATCTCCTACAAGAAAATTTCCCAGGGTAAATCACCCTCTAATGGTCGAACGGAATCCGCGAGGACAACGGCTAAGATTTCTAAAGGACAAACTTCTACTGTCTTGGGGAATCACTTTCTATAGCACGATCTCTTACTGTCTTAAAAAGTCACCTCCTATGGTACAACCTCTTACCTAGGTACGGTGCGACCTCCTATGGTTCGACCTCCCATGAAACAGCTTGCTGAATACAACCTCCTAGAAAACAGCCTTCTAATGTACGATCGCCCCGGGAATAACCCCCACAGAGTATTCTCTTCATGAAGGGCGTCAGTCAGAGGGTCCTCTACGGAATACATTGGAACAGGATGAGGGGCCGGCTTTGCAACCTTGGAAGCTGAAGAGGCTTCAAAATGATATTTCCGAATTCTTTTGGTGTGGTTGTCTTATTCGGTCAAGTACTCGGGCGTCCTCCACTTCAAGAAACTGACATCTGGACTCAGGGTCCAATTCGAAGGCCCTCACGACAGCCAAGCTAACGATAGGGTGTCTCATGATCTTTTCGTGGACTTCGTACTTGACAATATCCACTCTTATGATGCCGTTTCTTGTCTCCCTGGAGAATGTCCAGCCTCCCGCGGCCAGGGCTATTTTGGCTGTCCCCTTCTCTGCCTCCAGATCCTGGAAGGTGGTCCCTTCTGGCACGGCACTCCAGAAGGTCTGATTGCCATGTGACCACGGGATGACAAAGTAATCCTCGTGGATGATGTTGACCCTGTAATAATGAAGGGGTTCCTCCACACCCTCATCGGCAGACAGCGGATGCATCCTCTCGCAGGTGCGCACAAACGATGCCAGCCTCACCACACTGGGCCACCTGTCACGGATTTATCTATGGAGGAAGTCCAAAAGCGGCGGGAATCGCGCCACAGGCTCCAGCAACGGGATCCTGCTGGCCACACGATATGTGGAGGTCAGCGCCTTGACGTCGTTAGAAGGCGCAACCAGGACAAGGCCGGAGAAGAAGATGGGCTTCGGCAACGAGGCAATGTGGTCGACCAGCTTCGTCGTCACGGCGGTCCCGATGGATTGCGATCATATCACAATCCGGCTGTGAGGTATTCCGGCTTGCTTGACGGCCCAGTCAGCCAAGGCCACAGCGTCGAGAAGAAAACCTTGCTTAGAGGGAGTACCTGTGCTGGTGCCGAATCCGCGATAATAAATGGCCACGATGTGGATGCGTTTCGGAGAAGCGGCGGATATCGCTCTATAACTCGATGGTGTATAACCAGACGCCAGTGTCCCTGCAGCACTGTTCAGGCACAAAACGAGGAGACACTCTGGATCGTCACGAAGGGGTCTGAAGCCTTGCGTTGCCGTGACATCCCGCACAAGCCCAGATCGCTCGGAAATCAAGTCCTGCTCATGTTTCCGGTACAGGGCTGGAGGGAGGATGTCCTAGGCGTGAAGGTTCTGACTATCTGATGTCTTGATGTAGAAAGACGAGACTTGGTTGTGGAAGAAACCCCATTGCTCAGGAATATTCAGGTCTTTGCCCCAGGTGCGGGCCACTTTGTGGACATCTGGTCAGAACCGCGTTTGTTGTTGCCACTGTTGCTGTCTTGCCCGGGGTTTACTCTTGTGCAATTGATCCTAGCCCATGATGTGGAATAGATGCGTTGAGTGTTCTACCACATAGAGACGGATTCCGCCAACGTGTTAGGCGTGGGCGAGAGTCTTGCTCACTGTTAGTCTTCTGTCTGCTGGTAGGTTAACATAGTGTAAACAACGGCGAGAGACGCATCACTGTTTCATAGCTTCTACTTTCTTGTCTGGGCGAATGTGCTCGCAATCAGTCCTTGTGGAAGCCCTGGAGGTCAAATGAGTATGCGGATAAAATGGCTGCCAAGCAAAAGGGGGTGCTATGGGTCACTTACACGGTTTTACAAATATGTATGCACTGAAACATGAGCCAATTTTGCTCTATGCAGAGACAGATATGCAGTGAACCTTACTCGTTGATCAAAACAGTCTTATCCTCACCCTTTCTCAACTGTAATGTAGAGTGTTTGCTGGCCACGGAGCTGCATGATCGCCTTTGGCTTGAAGAATTCAAGCCCTCAATACGGGCCCAGTTCTGACAACCCTCGCTTCCTAAACACCTACCCTACCTAGGGTAGGTAGGTAGGTAAAAGACCTTGCTTCCCAATTTTGCAAAAGACATCTCTTGGCAGATATGCCACGGTCTTGGCGCTTGTGCTACTAGTACAGCCCAGGCAAAGCTTTCTAGGAAACCAGTATACCAATGGAGCGAAGCGAACCCCTAGTATGGAGGGAGTTTCCCGGACAGCCGGAGTGACCGAGTGGAGCGAGAGAGTGAAGGAGAACTGTCTCTGACCTTACTTCTAGGATCCTGCGTAGCTGATGCTTCAAGCTAATTTCTGAGCCGCGGAGTGGCGCTCGAGAATTCCTATCACTTCCTTGGGCGGCTGTACAGAAACATGATTGTATGTGACTCAAAATAAACTCTCCTTTCCGTAAACGGTTGTTCTCAAGGGCTGGAGTTTATGATTACAGATGAAACTAAACGAGTGAGAATGACTGCATAAACGATCAGGCTTGTTTTGCGTTTTCCTATTTTGTTCAAGACTCTGACACCGCTAGAATAAATTGTGGATATATCATACGTCACATCTCGGCAAGCTATCAGGTAGTTTCATTTCTAATCCCTATATATATGTATAACGCATGTGGCGCCTTCATACAGTTTGGCAAGCTATAAAAGACGCGATCCTGCCCGGAAATCAAGCCTGTCAGCAGAAGCAGTGTCCCAACATTCTGTTCATATTCCCTTCCGTTTCTCAGCACATTCAGTCTTGCTTTGCACTTTCACTGTCACCATGGCGGTTGTCGATGAAGCCGCTGCCTTGTTGGAGAGGCTTCGGGGGCAAGTCCTCCGAGTGCCGAGTGAGGATGACTTGTACGGACAGTGGTCCCGGGGAATCAACCCTTTGTACGAGAAGATTGCCGTGGAAGTCAACCAAACCTTGAGCGCCGTCGTTAGGGACAAAAATCTCTATCGAAAGGTTGTGGCTGAGGATCCTGCTCTCTTCACTTCGATGTGAGTGTATCTATTCACCTGGGCAGGCAATTGGCGGAAACTGGAGTTGGGTACACCTAAGCTGATCTGACCTGTCAAATGAAACCAGGTCCTATATCGAATCGGGTTTCAATAAATTGAAGACCATGGCATTTGTAACGGCTGCCTTGATGTTATGGGATGATGCCCTGGATCAGGAATTCCCTCCAGAACACCCCAACCTGGAAGAGAAGCTAGCGGAAGTTGACGAGTTTCGCCGAGTTTCTGTTTCCTACATTACAGAATTATTCGCTCCGCGATCGTCACAGGTGCTGAGGCCACCCCCTAACGATGGCTGTGCCGCTTTTCGGGAGGCCGTACCGGCGCTATTGGAAGCAGGAGAGACCCAATTCCAGAGAGGGGTTTTCGTGGAAGCGATGCGCAAGTGCCTGTCCAGCTCAAACCACCAACAGAAACAACGAGCATCGGGAAGGCTGCCTAGCATCGAGGAGTACTGGAGTTTTCGCCACGACACCGGGGCTGGAGATGTGTTCTGCGCTTTGCACCAGTAAGCTATTCCACGTGCTGGGTGTTAATGTATTAGTCGAGACGTGTTCATGACTGATAATGGCCTGAAGGTACATGGCAGACACTCATCTTCCCCCTCATCTTGCAGCTTCGGAGGAAATTATGGCAATGGGACGCGAGGCGAGCCAAGATGTTTGTCTGTCAGTCGGCACATACCTTATTCTCGCATGCGGTGACACCTCGATGACTGCAACTAACACAATCACAGGTCGAATGACCTCCTCTCCTTGAGGAAGGAATTGGTAAGGGTATATAAAAAAAGGTTCCACATTGTTCACTATACTGACGAGATCTGTGTAAGGTGTCCGGATCAACCTCTAATGCCTGCATCATCATAGCTCACAAGATAGGCCCGGATTTGGACAAAGTTACAGAAAATATCCGGAGTGAGATTTTGGAGTCGCATGTGCGTTTCAATGAATCCGCTTGCAGGCTGAAGCTCAAGGTCAACAACGACGGCTTGGTGATGCAGGAGCAGGTCCAGCGTCTCATCCAGGTATTCCAGAACTTCCAGACTGGATGTTTCACATGGTGTGCTAAGAGCCGGAGATATGACGTTGCTAGCTGCAGACAGTCCGACGGCTCTTTTGAAATTCTGATATAGAAGGTCTTTTTGATTGCAAGCCATTGTCACCGATGAGCGAAGTGGCTGGCAGTGCAGCGAGAGCAGCCGGTGCCTTTCCTTCAGTAGTTTTAGCTGAAGAATATATGAATTCGTCGTTAGTACCAGTTGACCTTATTCACTTTGACGGTAGCCTACTGGTATTACGGCCAAGGTCGGACTCACCGTCTATTTAGTATCTCCACAACCGATCACTCACCCGTGTAGGCCATCCTCAAAGGTCAATACTTCTCTTTAACCCTAAGCTTGTCACTACAGAGCCGTCATGAATGTAGTATTAGTAGTTGGTGGCTCGAATGAGTTTTCTCATATGGTCTAGACTACACAACGTCTTCACGGCAAGGCAAAGTCCAAAAATTCCAATTACTTGTGCATCATTACTTTGATACAACACAAATCTCAGAGCTCATTACGCCTCTGTGAGAAGGTTGGACAACATGTACCGGCGAAAGTGCGTCCTGAATCTCAGAATTCAAGGGCAGAGTTTTTAGTGGCCAAGAACCTCAGCATCGTCTGACGTAGATTCATGAATCACTAAAGCTTTGCCCAGAGAGCTTGTGAATCTCAATTTACTGGTTCTCAACCATCTCACGCAAGCGAGACGACTCTGGGTCACATCTACCAGAACTTAAATAATTAGTACCCGACCATCAGAGGGGTGATAAAAGGGGACTACACTTACAAACCACCCTCGAGCTCCTCAAGATTCTCAAAAGTCCCTTTCTTCCAAGTTTTTGGCCAAGACTGAATCCTCCCCTCCTCGGATCTCACCTTATCCAATATTATGATAGCGGGGTGTGCAATGTCTGCTACAATCTGCCTGACTGGAACGTTTGGGAGAGAATGATATGACAATGCTTGAGTCGTCCACCTCCAAGAACCCATATGGGTCATCGAGCATGTGGATCCCGTCCGCCTCCAGCACAGCTTTATCCACGTCTGTATACACCGGATCCTGAGCGTAGAGTTTGATCTCTTGATCCAAATTGACGTTCTTCTTCTGCAGGATATCCTTGACTGTCAATATCAAGGCGTGCTGTGTTATACTATTGTGGCCCCATGAAAGGTGTAGTGACATGGTGCAGCAGGCAAATGCAACAATCTTGGTGGTCTTTTCGAGGACTATGCTGGTCATCAGGGAGTTTCTGAGCTTCTCATACTCCTCGCTGTCTTCCCACGCTTTCAGACCGTCATGGAAGGCGTCCTGAGTGACCTTGAATGGCTTGCCTTTACGCGGAGACCTGAATACCTCTGTATCTATATGACGGGTCTGAGAACGATAATTTACCGCCAAAGGGCAATAAGCTAGCTTTTCAGTGAGAACAGGGTCTTTGCTGGCCTTGGTCAAATGCTGATATGTTCGGTAGTCGATCACGAACTCCACACTGTTCAAATGTCAGTCGATGGCTCTCTCGCTCGCGCAGACTGTGCCTGATACTCACAACACCTGTTCTCTCGAGCGGCCTCGTGGCCAAGAGGTACCAAGCTCGCTTCTCTTTTCCACCTTCTCCCCGTCCAGTCCCTGCAGGGAGATAAAACATTCGTGGCTTTCGGCCGCGTTGTTCCCGATGGACGTACTCTGACATTGGAAACTTATTCTTGCACGGTTGAGCTATAAACGTGTAGGGGGGTTGAGACGGGCCTTGTATTAGACAGCGGTCTTACCACGGGAATGCTCGACCACCCTGCGCAACTTGAGATATGAGTTCTCAGTTGTGAGTTCCGGAATATTTGCCCCTGTCGTTCATGGCATGCAGGCATTGTGGTCTTATGGTTTTGCAGTGGTACATCTATGTAAATACTGCAGCCACTCAGTCCCTGCGATCTGCACTAGGGCAGCAGGGCAGGGTGGGGGGCACACACTGGGACGGACCCTGGAATTCGGCTGGCTCCGAGCTCTATGTATTAATCCCATCCGTGGGCTTGGTCCAATCCCCCTTCAGACACAAGAGTACCTACCTACCTACCTACCTACCTACCTGTACGGTCATAGCCTCGGGGGAAGGAAACTTATTAGGATCCCGTTAGATCTACATATCTCCGATTTGATAATAAGCCCCTGTGAGCACCGCCAATTTATGTAGTAGCTCTGTCAGTGGGTGACGATATTTTGCTGTTCCTGGCACATGCGTTTGGTGGGTGGCGCTTCTGAACCAAGCAAGCAACTCCGATCATTGCAGCACTATGTGTAGTCTCTACTCTCAAACATGCCCTGCCTGCCCTTTGTTATTCACAGTCCGCCAACATGTGAGCCCAGTATAGACAAGACTCTTGTCTGCTCAAATTGCAACACACTTTTTGCAAGCATCCCTCTCTCTACCTCTGTTTTTTTTTAAGAGTGCAGCGGGTGATGGCCCATTGCATGACATCAGCCTGTGGGCAAGGACACCGCTCTGCCAACTTTTTGAGACTATGGCATGTTGACGACGTTTCTCTTGTCTTACCTGACGGAAACATTCCACTCGAAAAACTGGCAGAACTCGTGAACAACATTCTTGAAATGACGTTCTGCCGCGTTTTTGAATCGCTTCCTGATGTGCTCTTAAAGGAGTTCTTTGGGATGCCTATTGAGGGTGAGAGGTATGCCAACGTCGGCCTTAATGTCCTCATCCCACTTCTTCAGGGACAATGGGTACCACCAGACCAGAGAGCTCGGTTTGCAAAATTGCAAAGGGAGTCATCTGACCCCGAGAATGTTGAATGGGTCAATGTCCGGGCTGAGCGGTTGTCACGACTGTCACGGCAGCCAGCCGAGCAGGGGCAGGCCAGGGTTCTGACTGCCGGGAATTATCGCGCCGCCCTTAGCGAACTTGCTGAAGAGAATGGGCTCTCTTCGGAGTCTATCGATTCTTTGAGCCATCCAGCAACAATCGATACAGCTGCCGATTTCCACTCTGAATTCGAGTTTCTCCTTCAAATGCAAGATACGGAGCATAAAAAGCACTTCTTAGCGCCAATGGGGAGTTCTCAGGCACTCATCAACATTGTTATCGATTCAAACTATATACGCCTTGAAAGAACAGACCTTTCAGATGACCCAAATCAGCTTTGGGCCCTACGAGGAGTGAAATTCAGTCGCCAAAATGCACGTGTTTGGACCAGTTCCTTCGAAGCTTACGGCTCAGGACCATCAAGATTCCAGGCGTTTTCTTCTGCCGCAAATCGTGTCTTGGAGTTTAATCGCCTGGCTATTCTAGGAAGCTCTGCGAGAGTCATCATCATGTGTGGCTTAAGAGCGCAAGTCGATGTGATAGCAGCCATGAGATCTGAACTTGTTGGCCCCATTACGATGACTCTGAGGGAAATCAGTCACCATGTGTGGCTCATGCCGGAGCCACAAGACACCCGGAAGATATCAAGGATATTTATTGGCTGCCCGGAACCCGATGTTTCTGCCCTTGTGCCTGACGTGAATTGCGTGAGGGCCATCACAGATGTTTTTGGATTCGTCAGTGCCGTCACTAGTGTCCAACGATTGAACATCGCTTTCTTTGAGAACTTCAGATTCTATGCAGCCCTGAGATCACGATACAAGCACGAGCAAATCGGGGGGATAGAGCCTATGAAATTGGACGACCTGGACTCAGAATCTCGACAATGGCTTTGGCGTCGTGGTTTTGCGACGGATGCAGATATTCTGGAGCTTCAAAAGATTGCTGCATCTATAACCCGCGGCCTGATTTACCTAGTTGTCGTCCTCAGCCATGACAGAGGAACTGCGGAGACCGAGACCAGGACTGCACAGCCAAGTGACTCAACTTCTCGATCGCTACACGGACCACCCCGTGCCAACGGACCACCCCGTGCCAACGGACCACCCCGTGCGAAGGATCCCGAGATTTTCCAAAAAATCAAAAGCTTGTGGGGAAAAGTCCATAATGAGCACCTCGAGCGTATTGGCGAGCTTCGACGAGCACAGGGGGACCACCGTCCGGTGACGAACGAGATGGAAAGCTTTTTCGACGTTTCTCTACCGTCTGTGCATAGTTTTGAGAAGAAGACTACTATATCCTCAGAACACTCGTTACCTGTAGACAAGAGAAAGCGATCACCAACTCCCGACCGAGGACAAGATTCGGCACTGCCAAGTGCCAGTCCCAAGAAGGCGCGCATAGGCGAGGATACCTCCTGCGGCAACACATCAACTCCTGATGAACCACTTGATCACCTCACAACTAGACATACTATTCCAAGCCGCTCTTCACAGCTGGCTGCGCAAGAAGCCTATGCACCGATCACACAAAGGAAGTGCATTGCCGCGCCGCGGGAGACTCAGGCCGAGCACCAATACCTAGGTACACTCCCCTCCCGGCTCCTGTCCAGCAGATGTGGTCCAATGCCAAAGACCTTGCAATTAAGTCTGGCCAGGACCCAACCGTTACAGCGCAGAATGATATATTGGAGGAGCCGGTCATAGACCTGTTAGCTGAGATACTAAGGAAAGACGAGAACGAAACTTCAACCCTCTCGGCCTCAAACCACAAGACAAGCAAGACATCGCCTAAGGCAGTAGTTCAACCAAAGCAAAGACTTCGGACCATGTTGTTGGATGGCACATACGAGGCCAAGCCGACAACGGTGGCCAAAGACCAACATGTCGCCTGGTTCTGGCTTGGTCACTTTATTCAACTCCCAATTAAGCCCGATCTACTCGATGCTACAAATGTCAGTCAGAAGGTATTCCGTTTTAGAGCTCATCTCGCGAAGCCCGGCACAATCCATGCTAATCGGATGCTGGGGGATTCCGGCTTGTACGAGCACAGCGACCCGGCTCCCCGGTTAGCCATCCAATATTGCGAGCGAGAAAAGACCGAGCAGGAGTCTTCATGGAAATGGGCTTCAAAGCCTCCTTCTCGTGAAGCCTTATTCCACGTTAACTCACTTGTTAACACATTAGACGGCATACCAACTGAATCCATTAGCACAAGACCCCGTAGGTGGTGGCGAGAGTTTTACGATCATGGCAGTCGGCGTACACAGTGTTATAATGACTAGGTAGGCCAAGGTGCATATTTAGCTAGACATACTATGAATTAAAAGTCCTATTACTAGTTCTATATTTTAGATAACTAAGGTAACATTAAAAGTTTCGCCGTGGTGTCCTACCCGCTGCATATAAGACTATTCGTCTATATAAGGGACACTAGGATACCTACTAAAATCTAACTATAGTATCCTATACACTATTCTAAATTATAGTAAAAGCTATTACCCACTATAAATCTTACTTAGCTATTCCTAACCTCTTCTCCTCCTCCTTCTTATTAATTAAACCTACTAATAATTAACATTTAAAACTTATTATAAAATAACTTCTTATAAAACGACTTTTTATAAAATAACTTATTTAGCTTTATTATCCTAAACTTTTAATTTTCTAAATTAAAGGCTTTATTACTATTATCTCTATAATTTATAACTCTATTACTATATATAAAGTTACTCTTTATCTTTTAATTAGATAAAAATAATTAACTAGAGGATTAATAAAATACTATTAATTCTAATAATAAACTTAGTTTTATTAACCTATTTAATAAAATAATAAATAAATTCCAACTAACTATTAAATTAATCTTTTAACCTACTTTAAGTATACCCTTAATAAAAAAGTGTTTATTAAAGTGATTAAAAATTTAAATTTAATTAATATTATATTATATATAAGGACTATAAAGATAGTACTCTATATTATTATATAATTAAAGAGTAGTTAGTTAAAAAAATATTAAAACCTTTATTACTTTAATATTTAAAAGTTCTACTTAAATATTAAAAGGATTTAAAATAGATTAACTATTTAAAAATATATTTATAAGATAAAAGGGTATTTAATATATATTAATAGTAATATATCTAAACCTATTAGTATTTAAAGGGAGGTTAAAAATAACTTTTAAAAGGAGGTAGTTATTATTAAGGACTATAATATATTCATTTTATAGTTTTACTAAAAAACTCTAAGGGACCTTATTATATATTACTTAAATATTAAAGTATATATAAATAATAAGTTTAAAATAAAGGTATTTAAATACTATACTTTAGAAATATTAGAATATTAGGACTTATTAAAGGAACTAAAAGATTAGGTTAAGGAAAACTTTATATATAAATTAGGTTAATATATTTTTAAAATTATTTTACCTATTATTTAAGTTAAGTATATTAGTACTTTATATAGCTTATATTCCTTTAAGATTATTAATAACTTTATATTTAAACTATAAGCTTAAAGGTATAGGGATATAGTCTTAATAGGTTATAAAAAACAAAGCTATATAGAGGGTAAGCCTTTATAGTTACTCTACTTTAATAACTACTATTTTTATATATATTAATTCTTTTATAGCTTAACTAAAATTACTTTATTTATATAATAAAATAAGGCTATATAAAATAATTTAAGCTAAAAGTTTAAGTACCTACTTTTATATAAATAGTTACTAAAATATAAAGCTTTTAATAATAATAAATAATATATTATAATTAATAATATACCCTTAAATAATAAAAATATATTTAAATATTTTAAGTAAATATTAGGGTATTAAAATAATTTTAATAACTAATAAATATATAAAAAGCTATACTTTATAAAGTAGAGTCTATTTTATATTTATTTAATAAACTAAGACTTTAAGAATTATAGTACTATAAATATAGTATACTATTAGTAATTAAATAGAAATTATATTTTTATAAAAGTAGAAAAACCTTTATTTATAGTTTTATCTAATTTAGATACCTTAAATTTTAAA